AAAAAAAAAGTTTGTTTCTCTTTCTATGACTTGAAGACTATTGAAGATGTAAACAACATTATATTAATGCTGATTTCATAGATTTGTTAAATAATTTCAGCTTGGGCTTTATAGATTTAGATAGCATTTTTACCTTGTAGACAAATTGCTACTATATATAAATTTAGTTATTCTTTAAAAAATAGTGAATCTTGAAGTCAAGTAAACTATTTTTATTTTAGTTAATTTTATGATAATTTTTTTCTTAAAATTAATAATTTCTCCAATTTAACTTTTTTTTTAAATGTATTAGATAATAGAAAAATTCTTTTAGAGGATATATAATAAATTTTTTAAAAGTTATACAAGCAAACAAAGAAAAATGTAAAAATAAAAGTTAATAATTAATAAAATTAATTATAAAGAAGTAAATAAAAGAAAAAAAATGCAAATATAAGTATAGGATTTCTTGCAGTATAAATAGCACCATTAATAAAATATATTATTAATTAGTTGACTTAGAATAGGTGTTATCCATACTGCAAAAGATTCTAAGTATGAATAAAACATTATTAATTATAATTACTGGTGGTACTTTTTTAGAACAATTACTACTGCTAAGAAAATAGAAAAAAAGTTTTAAGAACCATTGATATAGTTAAGGCCATTATAACTAGTTTTGTTGAGATAGATGAAGTGGGTTTCTATTTCTAATTCAGTTAAATTATTTGGTTCTTGGCTTTGTAAAGTCTCATAAAACTCTTTGCTATCACTTTTTTCATACTTATTTAAAAGTTTTAAGAGTTTTTTGGATTATTTTTTATTACTCAATAAGTTGTTATTAGTTCATTATTAATATCATTAATTATTGTCTAATTAGATTGAACCACTTAAAAAACTGCTCTGCCTCTGAAAAAAGGTTTGACAAAAGTATTATACTGGAATGACAAAGCAAATTAATTATTTTTAAAAATTTGTTTTGCCTCCAGCTTATTTGACGAAGAGCTTTAATTTAAGAATTTTTGATTTTATTCATAATATCCTACCCTTTGACTTAGTAGTTAAAGAATTATTTCTAACTTTTTGGATTTCCTGGGCCAGTCGCTCATAATCTATTATAACTGAAGAATAAGGAGCAAAAATGACCAAAGGTTTATTAGCAATCCTACTTTAATTAATTACTTCAGCTTTTCTAATTTTAGCTCTACATAATTGTTCCTGATAATTGCTTAATTCCTTTTCTATATACTAATTAGTCTGCTTATTTCGACTATCGTAATTATTTTAAATAATTTGTCAGGAGAAATTTTTGCTTTTTTTGATTCTTAACAGGTTGCAAATAAGTCAGTCATTCCGTCTAATTCCACCTTATCCTAGTTTAATGTAAATCAAATAAATTAGAAATGGTCAATGATCACGCTACTGCAAAATTTTTACAGCACCACTAACCTATGTACCTCAAGTAGATGAATCATATTACTATATGGAGAATTACTCTAATAATTTATTTATAATAATGTAATTTCAAATAAATTATTTTTTGAATCAAAATAGATAAACCCTATTTGAATTTCCTGTCGTGCTTCTTTTATTATTTGAAATTTAGTCCCAACCAATTTAGGCTTTATTAGAACTCTAGTGTTCCAACCCAAAGATTTCACTAAAAGAATTTTGCGATAAATTAAGAACAGGATTTGCTATTATATTAGGTTAAAAAGAATTCATTAATGCAAAAAATTTGCGGATCGATCTTTTTTAACGCATTAAAAATTTTTACACCTGATCTAAAAGTTTGGTTGGCTGCTGAAATGTTTTAGTGTAATGACACTTGAGGAGGTAAAAACTCCAGCACAAGACTTGTTGGAAAATATGACTTTTTGTATTATAATGGTTATTGCATCTATCACTATTGTTTATTTATTGATCTACGCAACTAATATACAGTCAACAAGTGACATGTACCCTTGGGATTTCGTAGTACCGGGATCGATGTACGAAAATCATTTTCCAAATGTTATATGATATACTCCTAACAACCAGAAATCTGCAAAATTTGATCAAAGATACATCATAGCAAAAAAATTTCACACAGTCATAACAATTCGTTTACTATGTTGTAATTGCATATATCCAATTTATATGAGTAAATGACCTGAATAACGTAATTTGTCATAATTAAATAAAGCTACACCTAGTGATGGGACCTTCTGCATTATTAATTAATAATAATTATTAACAATTAGCCCGTTATTAACTAAAAACTACGTAC